CAAGCCTTTTCAAAATGTGGCCCGTTTTGTGACAGAAGTTACATCGCGCGTTACGGAATCGGCAGGAAGCAGCTGAATGTTGTTCCTGGCACCTGTAACATCTGGTCGATTCGGATGTTCTCTTTTCCTTGATGTCTCCTTTTTTAAGTGGTGTCTTCTCTTTCCGGATTTCGTGAATTTCGGACTTCTCTGCTTTCAGATCCTTTTGATGCTGTGCGGCGCTCTCTGTCCGCAGCGCCATGCCGTGCGCCTTCTGAAAGGTCAGGCTTACTTCTGCAAACAGTCGCTGTTGTAAATGTTCGTCGCGCAGGCCGCACACAAAACGATCCCTCAACATTACCTCGAGAGGCAGCAACGTTGGGTTCAGCTCTGGCTGTCGAGCAGGAGATTGTGCTTCGCCTGCGGAACCTGCGTTGCTGGTGCTAGCTGCGACCGCCGCTGGGGTTGCCGTCAGAACTCCGAAATTGCAGTCGGCAGAAAGCTTCTTTAAAGCTGCGACATAGCTCGATATCGACTCGCCCACCTGCTGGTCTCTTCGCTGAAATCTCGTCCTGCTGAAAAGCTCCGACGGCCGCGGGTCGTAGTGTTTCTTCAATGTCGCCATGAGCTCGTCGAAACTGACCTCACCAGGAGTCTTTGGTGCCACGAGCGCTCGTACCACTTCGTAAGTTTTTGCTCCGCAAAGGGTCAGCAGTAAAGCCCTCTTCTTTGTAGGCTCCAGCACTCCGTTTGCTTCGCAGTAGAATCCAAGTCGCTCTGCCCAAGACGGCCACGCTGTTCCATCAAATTCTTCCAGCTTGCCCTGGATAGCCATCGTTCACTCGCCCTTGTGGTGTCCGTTCACCGACCTCGTCGCCAAAAATGTAGTGTATCGCGAGTAAGACCAAGCTGCAGCCGTTAGTCGCTCGACTCGTTCGTTTTAATCATGGCTCCCGACTGACCGAGACCCGTGCTCTTTCAAACCGCGCGCTCTCAGCACGCGGGGACCGCGCGTTTCCCAACATGTCCCGCCATCTGCTTTAGCATAAGCAGATACATCACAGGTTCCTGCTTCGATTATCCGAAAAATATGGTTTCAGATCAATTTCAGAATCGTTGTATGAGCAATACAATATGGCGACTTACATCAAACGAAGTTAATAGCGTGGATGCATCTGGATTGAAAAACCGTCCACTCACGCTCACGGGAAGCCTTCTCTCTGAAGACCCCACCTTTAGTTGCTCTCTACTCTCGTTAATAAGGCAGTGTTGGTTCCTGCTTCGATAATCCGAAAAATATTGTTTCAGATCAATTTCAGAATGGTTTTATGAGCAATACAATGTGGCGACTTACATCAAACGAAGTTAATAGCGTGGATGCATCCGGATTGAAAAACCGTTCACTCACCCTCACGGGAAGCCTTCTCCTGAAGACCCCACCTTTCAGGGGGAGGAAGGTGCCGCCGCTTTCAATGCACCCTCCTCAGAATTTACGGCGCTCCGTGGGGGCCGCCATGTTAAAACTTGATACCAGTGTTGCTGCATCTGTAGGTCATCTTTAAGTTAGAGCTGACGGAGAAAATCTGGCCACGGCGCAACGCCGATGTACGCTGGAAGCTAGAGCCGGTTTGCTTTCGTAGTTTTTGTTTGGTCGGAGAAAATCTAGCAACAACGCACGTTCAACATGGCGCCGGTATTGCTTCGGCAGCTTCGGTTTGACCACGTTTGACGCGGTTTTCGAGCACATGTAGCGAAGACGTGACCGGAGAAGTGCCCCTTGGTGGTCCCGGAAGACGGAAAGTATCATTCGTAATCGTCGTGTTTGCTTTGAAAGCGAAGGTAGTCACAGGGTCCACGAGTGCGCAATTACAAGCCAAGGTTCACGACAGCGCTCCGTTGACTTCGGCGATCTCGTTCTGTTTGGTGTATTAGCCCCGAGAAGTACGCGTGGCGCCCCCTTACGGCGAGCCGGGGTGACGTCACGGCGAGGAGAGAATTTTTCCCCGACTCGCCTCGCTCGCCCTGTGGAGGCTGTGACGACGCTAGCTGACGGCGCGCTTGTTTCTATTTAATTTTTTTTTTGCATGTTTTTCGTGATAAGTGTAAATTTTTATATCTGTCTTTATTGAGGTATGGCCTGTAGCTACAGGCGAAACTTCAACCAACATTTTAAGCATGGTTGACAGGGCAGGCAACGCATGAATCACAGCTGGTATATGAAAATAAAGAAATATGGCCACAATTGCTGGAGCACCACTATAGATTTACATCTCGCACAATAAATTCTGCTGACAGTTTGAATGAATTGGTAGGTTATGTACACTATTTTTTTTTTTTGTATCTCTGTTTTCAAACAAGATCGCCGAAGCAGAAAAGCTGCACGCTGCTCGAGCAACATGCTAGATACGGTCTGGGCCATGGGGAGAGAATCCTAAGTAAGACAGCCCAAGTGCAGGAGCAAAGTAAAAAAACAAGGAACATTTATTATATACATTGCTCGCATTTGATTTTTGCTGGATTCCGATAGTATTTCAATGGACTATACGGGTGATATCTGTGGACTTGTTTATATCAACCCTCAAGTAATGTATAACAAACGTAAGCGAAGGTGTCTAGCTCGTTATTAGTCCCTTAAGCCCTAAAATTGAGATTTTACTTAAATCGAATTGTCCTGAAGCTAAAATACCAAAAGCTTTTTTCACGCAGACTGTCGCCCTTCACAGGTTCCACATTTTCTGCTACTAGTGCTGGACAGACGTTCGAATGCTTTCTTTTACTTCTGTTTTCCTCTGTTGTCAGAGAGTCCAGCTGTAGGAAGTTTGAAGGCTGAGGAAGCTTTTGGGGGACCTGCAGCAGTGTCTCTTTTAATTGGAAATGACAATTTTTCCAGACGAAACGGTGTACTTTCCGAATACCCAAGGCTGGAATAAAGAATGTCAGGAAAAAGTATAAACATTCCATATTGCGGCACGATTGCTGTGCATATTTTGGGCAGTTCAACACATCATACAGGCAACTGGGGGCAATTCAACCGCTTTTGCTGCTATCATACAAACTAATTTCCAGCAGTTGTGCGTCTTCTAAGAAATATGCTTGCATACGTGTATAAACTATATAATTAATTCACGAAGAAGCTACATTTATGTAAAACAACCCTGTTCCACGAGCACTTTCAAGATCATCAGACGCACGGCCTTTAAAACATCTGCGAACCAGCGCATGCAGAGTGGCAGCGCAGAGTCAGGGTCGCGAGCTAATTTGCCGACCACCAAAAGGCCCATGATATCAATGCCACTTCAGCTGCCTTGAAAGCGGGATGTAATATCGTCCCAATTCATGAACATGCAAGGAACAGAATTCCAGCGTCTGAAACACTTGCGCCACCGCTTCACCGACCCCTCGCAAGAATGCCTTGTGTTGTGTGGACGGACGGGGAGGTTCATCGGCGGAATGGCCTCCGCCGATAGCTTTCGGGATTTGTAACCCAATTTTAAAGGAAAAAGGGACAAGCAGGCTTCTAAAATGTACGGAAGCACGTCAGTATCGGCCTAACTCAACGTCTTGTACATCGGGTAAACGAAGTCCAGCTCCTCGAAGAGCTTGCGGCACACAACGCCAAACCAGGAAACCGGTGCTGGGAAGCGAGCCGATGCGAGATCGCGGAGCGGAGTCCTCCGCCTGACGTCACGGTACACCTCACCCAATCAGGGCGCGGCGACCGCAGCGACGCTTGTGTTCGCTCTCGGGGCTAATAGAGATAGGTTTGGTGCAACACGGCGATGGCGGCAAAGAGTTGAAACGTTCGTGGTGTGTGGTGCGGTGCTTGGAGGTAGAAGCCCATACTAACACGAAGCGCAAATTGGTTATTGTGGGGTTGAAATTCAGCGGTTTCAGTCCCGTCGTCGTCAGCTGATCCGGTCCAGCTGGTCCGGGAGGACGCAGTGAGCGCTTTTAAAAGTAAATCTTCCTTCGTTCCGTTTCAAAATGTGGAAGATTCTCGACGCATACCGTGAGTAAAAAGCTGCGGGCGTTTTCAACAAAATTACGTAGTTTTAATTGAACAATGGACTCCGGATTGTTGTCCTAGACCTGCCGTTTTTATGCTTCGTGTTGTTGGCGTTTGCACAGCGACGCACACCGCCTGAGGAGATGATTCGGTCCTGCAAACGACCGGTCATACAGAACCGATATTTTCTTGTAAATCTCGTTTGAGTTTGTTGCGCTCGTCATGTGGTGTGAATAAATTAGGGGCCAGTGTTGCCAGATGGTCCTACCAAAAAACCGCCAAACGGCCGGGGGATATAGCCCAAATATAGCCAAACCCCTAAACAAAAAATAGCCCAAAAGAGCCAAACACAAATACATCGTTTTTTTTTTTTTTTGCCGACATTTCACATTTTTAGTTATCAAACGATTCGCACTCTTTCGCGTACATGACATCACTAGTGAACTTCTCGAAAAAAGCCTCACACGGTTCGAAATCAGTGCAGCAGCATTTACCGTCGAGACATTCTCCAGCGTGTCAATGCCCATCCGATTCCGCAGATCGGTCTTCGTAAGAGTCACTTGGCTGAACACGCGTTCATCAGCTGCGTTTGACATAGGCAGTGTCAACATAGCGAGTGCAACATTGGACAACATGCATCGGGAACAGTAGGTTTCCAGCGCGATCAGTCTCACTCGACATACGAATCCAGAACTTAGAAACTGTCTCTTCCTGTAGCTCTTTCAGTTTCATTTGCAAGAGACGGTACTCTGACTCTACTGAGCTGACGTCGGCTGATCGAACCAGGCTCGAAAAGGCGTTAGAAAAATCATGAAACGGCAGGTTCTCCATTGAGCTTCCCCGCAGAAGATGGAGGTTCTCAAGAACGCTCAAATTTGAAGGGAATCGCTTTAGAACTGATTTAACACATTCCACAAGAAACTGCCTACATCGCTCTAACAACCCAGTCTTAACATCCTCAGAGAGAGTGGACTTTTCTAGACAATCCCGAAACACTCTGCCCATGTCACAGGCTCTAACATCCATGATGTGCGCTTCCCACCCAGTTCGATCCGGGCGACGCATGATTGGGCAAGACGACACGCAACATCAGACACTTCACAAACGACAGCAAGTCACTGTACAACTTCGACGGGTCCGGATTCTCGCTCTGAAACAATTTGTTCATGCGGTCAAACTCATCAATGATGGGGCTGAGGAACTTCACCAGCAGCAGGTTAAGGTCATCATTGAACATGTCGCTAAGCACTTTAGCTGTATAGCAGCGCTCTGTTGTTCTTGCAAACTCAAAATGAGTCTTCAATTCTACCCATTGGTCAAGGACCGTTCGAATGGCGCCTGCAATACTAAGCCACCGCGTGCCAGACAGCCCGACCAACTTCTTGGGCCTGTCACCAGAATTGATGGCAGCGAACACAGCGTGATACTCCTGCTGCCGTTTAGGCGAGTGCGCGAACCAGTTGAAGCATTCACGTACAAGAAAATCAACTTGTGTGGGCAAAACAGAAACCACTTCGTTGCACGCAAGGCGCAACGAGTGACAAACGCACCTAACACTGTTAACTTCCTTCATGCGAGTGAACAGGCTGTTGTTTCGCCCACACATAACACTAGCGCCGTCAGTGCCAATGCCAACGCAATCTTCTAGAGCGAGGTCACAGGATGAAAGAAACGTACTTAAACTCGAAAATAACCCTCCCAACGTCTAGTCGTAAATAGGCACAAGGCCCAAGAATGACGTGCAAAAAGAGTTTGTTTTCCTAGAATAGTGCCTCGACACGACAGCGAGTTCCTTAGTGGCAGACACATCTGTGCTCTCGTCAAGTAGAAAAGAGTACTTGCACGCCTTGGTACCTTGGTACCTTGGTAATGAGCTATGTGCATTTCGTGCGGCCCATAGACAGGGCAGCCGCAGTCACAGAGTCCTTGAAGCAGTCCTTCAGCAAGGGAGTCAGATGGTCTGCAGTCATGATCGAGCTGTGGACGGCAACATGGGCAGCCAGGCGGAGCTCGACTTTCTTGACTTGGCGATTTGCTTGCTGGCTCTGGGTACGGGGCTCCAACTGAACGAAGCTATCCAGTGGTCCAGGTCGAATGGCTACTGCTGCAAGCTGCATGTTTCTTTGATATTTTGCCCTGGTTTTGTGGGCTTTCAGGTGACCGTAGCTCGACCTTGCATACGCGACAATACGCCATGTCTCCACACGATGACTGCATCAGCCAATCTGCACACATAATAGAAATATTCTACCACACATCAACCTAATTTCAACCAAATGTAAGCTCAATAATGAGGCAAAAGCAAGCAATGGACACATACGATGAAATACACGAATGATTATCATGGCACACATACCTTTGAAATCTGGGTCTCTCTCCCATTTTTCCTTGTAGGACCTTGAGTACTTCGCCCATTTGCCCATAGCTGACGCAGACGTTGTGACAAAATAACGATCTGCATCTGGCCTCGATGTGCTGGCAGCCTTATATAGCCAGGAGACTCACTCCATCCCAAAGGGATCATTCGGGATGTATAGGAATGCGCTGTGTAGTGTAGACCGACCTTATAACCAAACGAGCTTCAAATAATATCTACATAGTTTCCTTTGAATTTCTTTTGTCCACCAGATGAACGCAGTCCAACCTTACGGAAAGAGGTGGCGGCGGTAGGTGGATGATTCACCCATGAAACCTAAACCAATTAGAGTTATTATAAACCCAAGTGAGACAGCTTTTTTAGGAAGATAAGAGACAATGGTCCAAAAAGCTGCTAAAAGTGGTTTTTCGGAGGAAAAAAAAAGGTTTTATGAAATACAAAATACACAAAGACAGCTTTATTGAGAAGCCCTGGAGGGGATATGATCATACAGTAAAAGAACAGAATAAAGCAGAACAGTAAGAACACTGGGAGTTTCAAACTAGAAACCCCAATATATCTAAGATCCTTACCAATATACCACCCGTCTCTTTTTCTTTGTGAGAGTCCTCCATTCCAGTTCACGCTATTTCTGATTGTGTTGTTCTCGTTTGGGGTGGGTGATTACTGGCGCGGACTTCACATTTTTACGACCTTGGGTGCTTTCTCACAATAGGCACCGAAGCAACATTTGGAGAGTTCAGTCTAGGTAGGTCCGGGTAGAAGACAAGCTACCGGGCCTCCAGTGCGCTATGGGCTGTGGGGAGATCGCTTCAACTCTGCAAGCATTGCGTCTCTGCGCATTGTGAAAACCTTGAAGCCTTTAAAAGTTTGAAGCCTTTCTCTTTCCTCCCTCTCCTCTCGACTGCCCGAAAGAGAAAATTTTTTTTTTTTTCGAAACTGATAAGAAGTTTGAAAATTAACTAGTCGAACTTCACATTCGATGGCGAACCTGAGGTTCGACAAAAGTTCGCCGCATTTTTAGAAATAGCCCAAAAATAGCCACATAGCCAACCCCGAAATTTTGACGCCAACTAGAAAAAAATGTAGCCCAATTTGGCTATATATAGCCCAATCTGGCAACACTGATTAGGGCAACGTTTCCTACCTGCCTGCGGATGCATGAACTGAGACCATTTTTTACGTAGTGAACATAGCGTTTTTTCTTTATTTTGGAAAGAGGTGTTGGGGACTTTATTATGGTACAATCACTTGAGAGTTCAGAAATTGGAGAGAGCGAGCATGCTTTCCCAACTTTGTCTCTTTTCTCTCTGGCATTGCCCCTAGTTTCAAGTTGCAGTTTCAGTAGACATGCCTACTAGCAGGTACAAACTGCTCTAAAGCAGGTGAAAGACTGCTAAGTCGGGGCGGTGCGGACTCCGTGTTTCGCGCTTTTCGCAAGGTGACTGGGTAAGTGCTTTTGCGAGGTATGCGGAATACACAAACGATTTTGTTACGCCCGTCGGTTGCGTCTCTCCAGCAAAACGAATAAGATGATCTACAAAGGCGCAATCACAAGCCAATATTTACGATAACAGTGCATTTGATTCGGTGGTCCGTGTAGTTGTATTTTACCCTGCTTTCTGCAACACCGTGTCATGGCGAAGAGCTGGAACGTTCACGGTTTGTGCTGTGGGCTACCGGCCGGTTGACCCAAAGGCGGATCCAGAACTCCGTTTTTTTTGTTTTTTTTTCTTTGGGGGGGGGGGGGGGGGGAGGGAAAATCTAAAGCAAGATATACAGCACTCGGGTTGCGCCTTTTGTTTTAACCGCCGCAGAACCACAGTGCACCGACGGCCCCTAGATGTGCGCCGCTGCGCCGACTTTTGGTTCAGCCGTGCTTTGAAACCGCCGCCGCGGACTTCAGTCTCGGTTGAAGCGACGGAGTGGTTCTCCAAGTTCAGAGTACCAGTGTGCCTGCTAGGATGCGGCCTACCCTATTTCGAACCCTCGTCCTTGAGTACCGAGCCTCCTACCACCTGGCAGGCCGGTAGTTGGTGTTACTTCAGGGGATCCACCCGTGCCAAATCGCCCTCCGAGAAGGGGGCAAGGGGGGCGGCCGTCCCCGTTGCCCCCCTCTTGGGTCCGCCGCTGGGTTGACAAAAGCCCGCTTCGCCCGCATCGGCACTGAGTGCACTTGTGCTGTTGTAGCGGCTCTACGCTGTTGATGCTCAAGCCTTTCATCCGCGGCTTGCCGCCACCTGATCCGGCTGCTCGACGGTGAGGAAGCGGCAAAAGTTACCTCTGAAGTAAATGTAAATCCTTGTTCATACAGTTATCCGGTGTCAAAGTGTGGAAGGTGTCCAACGTGTATTGAGGGCGGGAACTACGAGCGTTTTGCCTTGCTTTCGTAACCGAAACCAGAACAGCGAGATAACTGCCTTGCGTACTCCAAAATGATGAAAGCAATAAGTCGTCAAAAACCCGTTTCTAGGGTTTCAAACAAAGTAAACAATACACGTATAACTCAACTTCGTTGTCTGTATGCAGAAGGACTTACGTAACACAACAATACATTCTCGTTCCAAAACGAAAAAGAAAGTAAAACTCAGTCCGCCGTATATGGCAGCAACTTCTCCGCTGCAAAGCCTATGCTGGCAACGTAAGCGGTTTTAATATGGCAGCCTCCGCTTTGCGCCGCGTTCCCTTTCCCTCCTTCCCCCCCTGCCGCCTTTAGTTGCTCTCTACTCTCGTTAATAAGGCAGTGTTGGTTCCTGCTTCGATAATCCGAAAAATATTGTTTCAGATCAATTTCAGAATGGTTTTATGAGCAATACAATATGGCGACTTACATCAAACAAAGTTAATAGCGTGGATGCATCCGGATTGAAAAACCGTTCACTCACGCTCACGGGAAGCCTTCTCTTTGAAGACCCCACCTTTAGTTGCTCTCTACTCTGGTTAATAAGGCAGTGTTAGTTGCTGCTTCGACAATCCGAAAAATATGGTTTCAGATCAATTCCAGAATGGGTTTATGAGCAATACAATATGGCGACTTGCATCAAACGAAGTTAATAGCGTGGATGCATCTGGATTAAAAAACCGTTCACTCACGCTCACGGGAAGCCTTCTCTCTGAAGACCCCACCTTTAGTTGCTCTCTACTCTCGTTAATAAGGCAGTGTTCCTGCTTCGATCATCCGAAAAATACAGTTTCAGATAAATTTCAGAATCGTTTTATGAGCAATACAATATGGCGACTTACATCAAACGAAGCTAATAGCGTGGATGCATCTGGATTGAAAAACCGTTCACTCACGCTCACGGGAAGCCTTCTCTCTGAAGACCCCACCTTTAGTTGCTCTCTACTCTCGTTAATAAGGCAGTGTTGGTTCCTGCTTCGATAATGCGAAAAATATTGTTTCAGATCAATTTCAGAATGGTTTTATGAGCAATACAATATGGCGACTTACATCAAACGAAGTTAATAGCGTGGATGCATCTGGATTAAAAAACCGTTCACTCACGCTCACGGGAAGCCTTCTCTCTGAAGACCCCACCTGTGGTTGCTCTCTACTCTCGTTAATAAGGCAGTGTTAGTTCCTGCTTCGACAATCCGAAAAATATGGTTTCAGATCAATTCCAGAATGGGTTTATGAGCAATACAATATGGCGACTTGCATCAAACGAAGTTAATAGCGTGGATGCATCTGGATTAAAAAACCGTTCACTCACGCTCACGGGAAGCCTTCTCTCTGAAGACCCCATAGAGTTATTATAATGTACGCTAGAGGTTCAACTGGCGCTAGTATGCTGCTGCAAATTGAAGCCGACAGCAACCAGTCCGAAATTGACTTCCGGTAATGCATTTCTATGGGAAAAAACGAGTGCATTTTCTCTCTGCGCTCGATTATTACAGCAATTACCACGAACTATTCGTACGTACTAGGTAGCTTGGAACATTTCTCAGTCACGCAGGCGAAATAATTGGTCAGTTACAGCCTTTTTATTTGAAATTCGTGGCACGAAAAGCGGTGCTAAAACCGCTGCGTACGTGTATCTATGTGCAATGTCGGACACTGTTAGCGCGAACACGGCGTCGGCGCTTTCCAGTATGAGTGACATACGTGCCAAACGAAAGAAGGACATCTGGAAAACCAAGAGCTACGCAGTAACACTGGATAAGTAACTCCTTGCGCATGCAGACGATCAAAAATAAATTGAAAGCCACGTAATATAGTCAGATTTGCAATAAATGAGTACTGCTTTATTCTTTCTGCTCATGAATATGTACGAAGATGCTTGTTCTGGGTTCAAATCATCACCCGCACGCTCCAAATCTTCGCAAATAGGGAGAAGCCAGAGAACAGGTGCCCGATTAAAACTGCCCAACATAGGAAATAATAAAAAGACATCTTTCGTAGCCCACATACTTTATTTTTTGAACAGATCGTAAAAATGCACGACGGAGTCATTTTCATATAGTGACAGAACGGGCATATCAGCAATATATAAGTGCCACCGGAATGCCATCGAACCTTGAACGCACTCTACATTCCTTTCGATTGTTATTTTGCTTAGAATCGTCCCTTATTTTTACATACCAGGCACGGAACATAGGTTTGGGCCTGAAATATAACGAAGTTTAACATCGTTCAGTAGTAAAGAAAAATCGTGCAACTAAATCAATTACACTTTCACAATATTAATAAAGGTACATACTATCCGGTACAAGCGATATAACAAAAGTTATTCATGTTATTTTCCGGCGAAGAGACAAAATCCACGCGCGTTTTCCCATAGGAATGCAAAGGAGCACCGCCAAAGTTGACTGGTTGCTGCCTGCTTCAATTTGCCTCCCGGAAGTCGCATAGACACTAGCGCCAGTTGAACCTCTAGCGTACATTATAATAACTCTATGGAAGACCCCACCTGTGGTTGCTCTCTACTCTCGTTAATAAGGCAGTGTTAGTTCCTGCTTCGATAATCCGAAAAATATGGTTTCAAATCAATTTCAGAATGGTTTTATGAGCAATACAATATGGCGACTTGCATCAAACGAAATTAA